TGCTGTAGGTGACCCTGCTTCGGCAGGGGGTTGGACTAGATGACCCACAGAGGTCCCTTCCAACCCCTACCATTCTGTGATTCTGGGTACTGCTGAATCCACAGGAAAGCAAAGTGGAGGAGCAGCAGCCCTGGGGATGGTGCTCCTCTGCAGTGGAAGTGCTACTGGTGGCCTCTTCTCGCCGTCTCGCTGGGGAGTTTCTGTCCTCCCCATCCACTGGGAGCCTGGCAGAGATGCTTCTTCCCCGGGACACCCCTTTGTCATCTCGGCTGCCAGGGCCTTGCGGGGTCTGTCCTGCGTGCAGTCTGCTCTCAAGCAGGCTTGGCTCTCCTTTGGGCCAGCCCACAGCTAGCCTTGCTGGTGAGGCTTGCTGATGTGGGGAGGAGGGAAGGCTTTTTAGCACCAAGCTAGCTCTGATCTCGCTTTCACAGGGGATGCGCTAGCGCAGCGTCACTGAGGAAGACGGTGGCAATGAGAACACCGACCAGGGTCCCAAGGAGACCTGTCCTGACACGTCCACATGGCAACTGAATGCTTGATAAAACTACTGGGTCTGTATGTTGTGCCACACTGCTGCCTTACTATTGCCAGGTGGACGTGTCCTAATGTTTAAGATTCTTGGATTTTAGTGCTACAGATCCCTGCAGTGTTACCACATCCCTTCATCATCCTCATACTCTTATGACCAGGATCTTGGATAAGGTCTGAAAAGACAGGGTGCTGCCAGTTTGAGGTGAACCCCACAGATCCTTGGACAGTTTTTAATCTAGGAGCCACGGCTTGTTTTGGTGTCACAGACGAAGATCCCTTCTCCCAGCCCCCTCGGCGCACCTAACCCTGCCTACCACGTTCTGCTCAGGGTGTTTCAGTGATGTTGCATTCTACCGAGTAAATAGTTTAAAAAATGGTTTGGCTTGGGAGGTGGTATATAAAGAAATTATCCTGCAGAACTTGCTATTCAGGACTGGCTTCTCCTGCCCTCACAAGCCGAGCATAATTCTGCTGTCTGAACCAACAGAGCAGAAGCGTAGTGAAATCTGCCGCTTTCAGGGGAAAAGGTTATGTTGTTATTAGACCTATTGTATAAAATATTCCATTAAATGTCATTAGCATGGCATTATCTTGCCTCCTTTAGACATTAGAACCCTGGCAAAAAGGGGTCTCTTATTACTGTAAAGTACATTCTTCACGGGTTTAACCTTTTTTAATTAATTTTTCTTTAGATCCGGAATGCTTAATATACTGCCGCTCCCAGGTGTGTAAGTGAAGGAAAGCGGACTTTGATCATTAAGAAACATATGAGACAATTTGATCTGCATTTTCAGGGTTGTTAGAGGCAGAAGCAATTTCTGTAGCTGCTTGTGATGGTGACCCTGAAATAGTCGTGCACCGAGGACATAGTCTTTCTACAGTGAGTATTACACGTAATTAAAAATTAAGGAGAATTTATTATTTTTCTGCCCAGCTGAAATTCCCACAAGTCACCTCTCGGCATATTCAAGAGTGCACAAGAGGGATTTATTATTTCCTGGTATATTGACTCTGAAAGGTCTGGGGATTACAGCTGCTTTGCACATGAATAGCTGGAGTGTGTTGTACAAAAGGCATGGGCTGTGGGATAATGGGCTTGGATGTGGGAAAGCGCTGACCCTGGGGGAGAGCAGGCTGGTGCCTGATGGCAGGAATCAATTATGTCTCAAAGGAACACATTGCCCCGGGAGCAGGCTTTGCGGGAGCCACCACGTTATGTGTTTACCACCCTCCTCCTTCAGAAACCCACATGGAACAGCCACAGAACGTATCCTAACTTTCTGCTTTTGCCGGGGGACTCGGCTGCACCTTGCTCTGCAGCTGCGCCAGTCAGTGCTAGGTTAGCTCTGATCTCGGTGACGTGACTGCTCTGCACCTCGGCCACAGGGCAGGGACCCCGTTTGGCTCCCACGCGCTGCCGGAGGGGTCTGAGGTTGGCTCTGAAGCACCCCAGACACTGCCGAGTTCAGTGGGAGCACACGCTGCCCGGAGCCCCCTGCAACACGCAGACCCCCGTCCCCTGCTCGGCTCTGGGCAAGGCAGGAGGACAGCCTGTCGCTGACAGGAGGGCAGGGAGCGAACACAGA